AATTAACCAATAAGAAGAATATATGCAGTGTGTTAATTATTGAAACTGTTCTAGCGATTTGATTTGAAGCTGTCTCATTGCTATTTGTTTATCAATAAAATTATGAAAAAAAAACAAAATTAAATGAGAAAAAAAAGATAGCTCAGTGGTCTAAGGCGCCTGCTTAGACAAGCTTAAGCAAGCACAGGGACCACAGTTTGATCCCTGGCACCACATGTCACACCAGCCCCTCCCCCAGGGAGGGCTGAGCTGGCTACCCAAATAAAATTCCTTTAAAAAGTTCCCAAAGGAAAAATCTGTATGGAAGTAAAAGGGATGAGAGAGGAAAGGGTAGTAACTCAGCCACATTGCTTATCTTAGTTTGGTCTTTCCTGGAGTCTGGACTGCGCCTCAAAGAACCAGGGAGGAAGTCATCTGTCAGGGACTCTGGACCCTGTAGAGACAAGCAAGAAGACTGGCTCTAGGAAAAGTGATCCCTTGCAGGAGGATAGCAATTTATCTGTGGTCAATCCATATACATCTTTGATCATGAAACTTAGGAGAACACAAAAGCCAAGAAAAGAATAAAATGAGATCAGAAAGTAGCATCACCTGAGCCTACTGCTGACACTGCACAGGAGCAGTGAGTAGGAGGAGAGGGCTATGAGGGACCAAAAATTATATGGGGAATGATCTGCAAAGCCAATTTATAGGAACTGGAAAACTAAAGCCATTTTATTTTTTTCGTACTTGGAATCAAACTCAAAACCTTGCTCTTGCAAAGCAGGCACTTGTACCACTGAGCTGTATCCCTAGCCCACTATGGCTATTTCAGGTGAGAGAGTACAGCCAGTACCATCTGATTACATTTGTAAAAGGTCATCGCACAGTTTTGTGAATCATAGATTCAGTGGAACAAGAGCAGGAAAGTAAGACTACTGTGGACTTTTAGGAGGTCTGGGGTCTTGGACCCACACCAGTAAGCACACAGGCACATGCCCCAAATTACTGTGAGTATATTTGAAATGTGGCTTATTCAAATTAAAATGTACTAGAAGTCAAAACATACCTTAGACTTTAAGATCTTCATAAGAAATAATGGGAAGTATCTGATCAATATTTATTTTGTTTTGGTCACTTGTTGAAATAACATACTTTGCTCTAAAATTGTTCAAGTTACTCAAATAATATGTCCTTAAATATGTTAAATGTTACAAAAAAGTCAAATGTTAATCAACGTTCAGTGTTTTTTTTTTCTTTTCAAAATGTGACTGCTATAAATCTTAAAGTTCTATTTTTGCTCGGAGTTCTGTTGGAAAATATAGACTATGAAAATTCCATGGTCTGTACATGTTATGACAAAAAACAATGAAATATTTCATTATGAATGATATTTAAGGGATAAAAAATAACCAATAAAGTATAGCAGATTTTGCAAAATGCTGGGAAAAGGAGGAACACATTGAGAAAGATGAAAAATGGAACTTAGTTTTGGGAGTAGTTAGAAATGTCTAATGGATCTTCCAATGGAGATAACACACAAATGGCTGAATATACAGTGGGATCCTAGAGATTTAAGCTTAATAATATTTAGTACACCAAAGCTTCATAGTAGCACACAGGATGTCACCACTATAGGAGAACGTGGACCCAACTCTGGAGCAGTCAGTCTTGTAGAAAATCAAAAAGTACAAGGAATACTTTTTTCCCACTTCCCATGCAGCATTTGTTATTGGCTGACTTCTTGAAGACAGCCATTCTTTCTGGGCTGAGGTGGAATCTCATTGTTGTTTTAATTTGCATTTCTCGAGTGACCAATTATGTTGAACATTTTTTCATATATTTACTTGTCATTTGTGTTTCTTCCTCTGAGAAGTGTATATTCACCTAAGATGCCCATTTTTGCTTTATTTTTATT